TGTCACTTCTACTCAAATAAAAAATCTTATCTGCTATTTTCCAATAGATGTTTCTTCAAAGTTACAAGTTGATTCAGTAGAAACAATAAATTCTATAGATAATAAATATATAGAGAGTGATTTGAATTTCAATGATACTTCGTTAAATATATTTGATGCTAATAATGATACATGTAAGAGGACATCTGACAATTCTTTTAATTTACGTGATAAGCTTTTTATAAAAATTGTAATGTACATTTTATTATAGAAGACATTCAGACCTTAAAAAGAATGGTTGCAGCATCCGACATTCAGTTTACAAATATTCAACAACGTATGGATCATATTACGCCAGGAGTACTACCAAGTATTTCTACAAATCGAATAACAAAATGTTTACCTTTGAAAACTATTAATGATATTCTTCAGATGGAGGAGAAATTAAAAAATGAAGGAGAATCATTTATCAACGAATATAAAACTTTTGTCCGAAAAATTGGTGGTCATACTGCGCGTGAAATTATTAGAAATGTATTATCACAAGTATTTACAAATGAATGTGCTTTGCAATGTTCGTGGAAGAGTCGCAAACAAAATTTTGAAGTTGCTTCTTTATGTATCATAAAATATATGAGAGAAGTAGTGTTAGACATGCATCAAAATTATACTAAAAAAGAATTTGATGAAGCCACAAGTGATTGGCTGCGTTTTGCTAAGCAGAGATTCACTAGAGAAATAAAGTTAAATAATGAAAATAGATTACACAAAAAGAGAAAACTTATACGAAACAATATAAAATAAAATACATTAAATATATATAAACAATATAAAATAAAATAAATTAAATCAGTTTTCCTGTGATAAATTCAAGTCACTATTCATATTTAAAGTGTACCAAAAGATTGTTTCTTAGGCTGTGAAGCAGACATATTAGGTAGATTACGTATTGTTATAAAGTAAAATTTAGTTGAAGTTCCTAATGCATAGAAGTTTAAGTTTAAACTTACATTAATGTTTGACATAATATTATTTTTTTTTTAACTTTTGATAATATTATTTTTGTAAAAGTTCTAATAATATTATTTATTTTAAGTTTTGCGATTTTATTGCNACGTTTACTTTCAAAAAAGTGTTATGTACAGATTTTAAATTATCATACATAAATTACACATTTGTTACGTCCTGGCCCACGGTTGCGGTCGGGCTATGGTGGAGTAACAGAGAGCTGTCGTTTCTCTTTCTATCTCCGCACAGCAGGTTGGCGATCCCGCTGCGACAGAGTCGAGCGAGTTTATGTGCTCTCACGGATAAGTCAACGGCGTATGCCGATCTTACTCTATCCTATGAGGCCCCGCTTGTCGGTCTCTTTTTGAGTCTGGAGAATTAACTCCACGGACTAAGGACGAGACCGTGCGATCGATTGAGGATGTGGAATGATGAGAGGTCGTCTTAATTAAACGGAAAAGATTATGATGCGTACAATATTAATTTATTCATTTAGGGGTTGGTGTTACAATTTTTAGAATGTGATATCGCGAATTTTACATTGAAACGGAGGGTCATCGCTCGGAGGCTAGAGAGGGGAATATATATATGTGTGTATGAGTGACGCGAGGATGTGTGTGAGGGGCCTCCGGCGAGGTTTTACAGGTATAACTGTGTCGGGTGCATGTTTAAAGCGCCGATTCGTGGTATAGAAATCATTCGAAATCTATTTCGATTATTTTATGGATTTTGACAGAACTAGGGAGAAATATAGTATAAAAATGGTGGACAGGAACTAAACGGATGTCACCTATATAAGGAAATTTGACTGGGAGGAGTTTTCTGGCTGGAGTGGTGGTTATCACCCGGAAGATGTCGGAAGGATCTGTTGTTAGAAGATTAAGGACAAAGGGGATTCTTTCCGGATTTGCTTTTTTGTAAGTTGAGGCTAATCGGAGGAAGTGTTGAAATCTAGAATCGAGCGGAGGGGTGGTTGACCCTGTCGAGTCGGAGGATTCATCATTCGCGGGTTCATCTCTGGATGTAGATGGTTCAGGGGAAGGAGAGCGAGTGGGAGGTGGAAGAGTCGGCGCGGATTGCAAATCCGCGGGATTTCCTGCGGGACAAGCGGGTTCGGAGTGCGTTGGAGAAGGGGAGCGAAGAGGTGAAGAGGGCGGATTGTTCGCGGGCGAACAAGGGGAGGATTGAACGTCTGCGGGAGGATCGGGGGTTATCGGTGAGTAGGAGGGACCTTCATACCACGAATCGTCGTGTGTATGTGTATCTGTGTGTGTGTGTGTTGCGAATGCGTCGGTGAGTGTGAGTGCGCGTGCGATTGAGTTGTATGTATATCGGTGGGGTTTTTTATTCTATTGTCGCTGCTGGAATCGTTTCTTAATGTCTGAGGGGTGGCGTCAATGGGCCTGGTCGGCTGCGCTTCGTTTTGCGCGAGCGCTGCCGCTCGTCGCAATTTCGCGTTGCGACGGTAGCGCTGGGCCTTTTTACCCGCTCGCGAAGTTCTTTGCCGGGATTCCACTTAAACGATTTTATGCAATTACACTCATATACAATTTATGTTATTGTTTTTTGTTATTGATTTTCTTGGCTTCGCGACCGTTTTCGGAAATGTCGAGCCTTGTTTACCACGTGGTTTAGGGAAGAAAATGAAGAAAAGAAAAAAAACTTCGGCTGCCACCCGAGACAGTTACACACCGCGAGTAGCCCTTTCGAAAATTTCGGTTGCCACCCAAGACGGTTACACACCGCGAGTATCCCTTCCAAAATTTCGGCTGCCACCCGAGACGGTTATACACCGCGAGTAGCCCTTCCAAAATTTCGGCTGCCACCCGAGACGGTTACACACCGCGAGTAGCTCTTCCAAAACTTCGGCTGCTACCCGAGACGGCTATACACCGCGAGTAGCCCTTCTAAAACTTCGGCTGCCACCCGAGACGGTTACACACCGCGAGTAGCCCTTCCGAAGATTTCGGCTGCCACCCAAGACGGTTACACACCGCGAGTAGCCCTTCCGAATTTTTATAGATTTGTTTAATTTGTCCGTTCCCGATATCTCCAAAAATCAATCGCGACGTCAGCTTTTAGTTTTGCGAGAAGTGGATCCTCCGTATATATAATGATGTGGACTTACTACTTATGTGACTGCTGGCTGCGATTTCCTTTCCCTTCGGCCCGTGCGGCTGGCTAGGTAGTTCGGAACCTGGTGCGGCTTTGGTGTTCGGTGGATTCTCGGCGCATTACTCGCACTTGCACTTGTAACTTATGCTTGTTTTGCTTACTGAAATCGGCTCTTTTCAGATACGCGGCGCGGTTTTTTCTGTTTTCCGATTCCGAGAGCCCTGGCTTATATACTGTTTTGAGTAAGCGAGGACTCTTCCAATCGGGAACTCAGTTGAGCTTTGCTGGTTTTTATTTGTTAATTAGTCGGTCGGGCGACTTTCGAGATCGCCAATCGGCGACGATCCCTCGCTTCGGTCGCCTCGTCCGATTTTTCGGGGAAGGAAAAAAGGAGAGTATTGTCTTTTCGATCACGCCGCATAGACCCTTTGTTGTTTGTTTATAATAAAAATGCCGGAGTATTTATTTGCGTCGGCCGCTCTAATTTTTATGACCGGTGTTTTCATGACCCGGAAATATCCGGGTTTGTTTGGATAGCTGCTCGAGTAGTTGTCTAAAGGCGCAGTTTATCTTTTCAGGCGCCGATATAATTTCCGTTTGCTCTCCTATCGTCTGGAGTTTTGAGTTTCCAAACGATAGGAGAGCCGTTCGAGTCATTTATTATTATTTACAAAAAAAAGGGTTTGCTATGCGCTGGTGCGTCGCGTCGCAGGAAAAAGGGGACCGTGAAGTCTCCAGGACGTAACACATTCATAAATATCCATATTATTGTGCGCGGACACAACAATATACATTATATTCAATTACATATCTTTTCATAATCTTTATTTAAGTTCAAAAATATTTTTATGTATTGTAAAATGTATAAATAAAGAAAATAAAGCTTATTTACTTTAATCTATAAAAATTTATAAATATTTGAAACCTTCATATAATTAGTTATAAATATTAGTTATATACATATAATACAATGCTATTAATAACGTAACAAAAATGTAACTTTTATATGTAATCGCTACATAACAAGTGTTATGTAACATGTTACATTCATAAGTGGGAAATACTAATGTTACAGTAACATATCAGTAACACTCGTGTAACATTATCTAAAACAATCGATTTTGTTATATCAATGTAACATTTATATAACAATGTTTTGCGGGTAATAATTAATATTTTTCTCTACTTAATTATTTAGATCAATTTCCTATCACTTACCTTTTTAATTTTTCTTTGCTCTAATTAAGAATGGCGGAGCATTCTGAGAAAGATCAAATAACACTGTTAATGATGCGAGGATAAGGAGATCAACAAAGAGGATATAAAACAGTAACGCGATTATTTAATGAAAATTTTCGGAATGAAAATAATAGGATCTCTAAAAGTACTGTAATCCGTACTATTCAACGTTTCGAGGACATTGGTAGCGTTAAAAGCTGCTCAAGATCTGGTAGAAAACAGCAACAAATAATGATAAGGCATTAGATGTTTTACAGTCTTTCGTTGAAAATCTTCATATTTCCATCAATCGCGTTGCACAAGAACACGAAATCGGTCATGCATCTGTCAGTAAAATTTTGAAATTGAATAAATGGCATCCATACAAACTCCATTTGTGCCAAGAGTTGTCCGAAGACGATTTTGACAGACGCATCGAATTTTGTGATCTTATGA